TCCTGTCTGTGCTCCTGTCTGTGCTCCTGCACTCTGAAGATGCTGGTCACAGGTGCTGGCGAAACGTTAGGAAACAAAACTTCCAGAACGCGGCCACACAGCCTGGAAGACCCACACCAGCCATTATTAATACAGCTTGGCTAAAGCTTTTTGCTGCTGAGTCACTGGCAAAATTCTTTCTTTCCCATCTAGATAAACCTTTGTGCTTTCACTCCCACCTCCTAAAATGTGAAGGAGATCTCTATGTCCTAATATAATTCTATACATATTCGTAGGTTGCAAGACTCCTTGGAGCCAAACTCTACATTCAGCAAGGTCAGGATTTTAATACCTCCTTGCTCAGCACAAAAACTAGCTCTACAGGAATAACATATAATACACACAGTTCATGCATTCCCTTCCTAGTTTAACTCAGTCATGAAGATGACAAGGAACAAGATGAAACTGGAGCAGCAAACCAAATTTTTGCTTAAATCATTTGACTTTCAGTGAAAAAGAATTAAAGAACACATATAAGAAACTAAAGAACTATGTGCCCCAATGCATCCCTAACACTGGATTCACCTATTTATTAATGGTAAATAGCGTTAAAGCAGGAATTTAAGGATCAGAGATCCACTTTAATTACTGGATAATCCTTAGGGAGAGTTCTTAGCATACCTTTCTCTTTGCTTTCAACCTATGTAGCAAACATTATGCCAAAGGACCAGAGTTTTATCAGAAAAGTTCTAAAATTAGAGAACAGAGAGTAAGCAACCTATCAACATACTGTATTTTTAATAGGTAGAATCCAGACCTGATTTCACTGAAATCTGTGGACTTGACTTAGCCACTAACATATTTGTCACAAATCTCTCATCCGTTCAGCCTCACCCATCTGAGTATTCTCCAGATGGGTTGGCCTCCACTGTTCTTGGGCCCAGCCAATAGGACCACTTACAAGGCCTTTTACCTCTCTCTCAACCTTCTAAGATGTTGCTCTGTTGAACACCATCTTCACCCCCAAAGAACCCATTCATTCTAAAATGAACCTGGGGGGAGAGGGAGGAAGAGAGATGAATGTGATATTTAAAGAGTGCCAGGTCTCATGGCTGATTTGTAATTTCATCTGCCCCACACGTCAATTGCAATTCTAAGACCAAAAGCCATTCTCCGTATATTCACAGAAACCTTTTCCTTTATTTCATAATTGTTTACAGACAAGATGCTGAATGCAATTACAATGGGACCAACAGTGAGGAGTTTGACATTGGGTTTCATAAAACAACCCCATGACTACTACCACATTTATATTTGCAGTGAGGAGGAAAGAAGCATGGGGCATCTTCTGCTCCCGTGTCAAATTAATAAGACTGCACGCTACAATTAAGGGGTGTGTGTGCCAAGAAATGAATCCACTTGTACCATCTCTGCCAGAAAACAGAGGGTGGCCTTTTCTGTGAATAAATTCAACTTACTGACCTACTTACTCTCAGGTAAACTTTCCTAATTCATGCCGCTGCAAATACCTTAGACCAGGGGTCCCCAAGCTCTTCAGCACATCAACCCCTTCATAAAGCTTCAGCTTGTTCATCAACTCCCAAACATTATATGAAAATAATAAATACTAGTTTAACTAATACTGCTACAAATGATGATGATGATAACATTGACCCCTTGGATAGTCCGATCGACCCTTCAATACCGACCCCTTTGGGGACCCCTGCCTTAGACCTTCTATTCCACAGCCAGTACAATCTTTAGCCAAAGGGTGGCTGGGGATAATGGGAGCTGAACTCCAACGTCAGGCCTTCCCACGAGTGACTCAATGAAAGTTGAAATTCGAGGCACACCCATACGGGAGTAACACACACCCATCAGCTGGGCTTCCATCTCCGCAGAAGGACCAGGAGGACCGGTCCGGGGGCAGCCGATGCTTGGCATGGTGGCTCCTTTCCCTTCCCCGCCCCAAACAAACTCGAATGGAGCATCAGAACCGCGACAACGGCAGCTGGGTACCCACCTGTCCGGCCGCTGCAGCAAATCCTGGAATTGGGCCGAGGATGCCGCTTCTAATAGGGTTCCCGCTCCTCCCTCGGCCGCCATCGCTGCTGTTGATCTCCGCGCCGCGGAAGGGCGGAGAAGGCGGGGAGGTGCGCTCTCCCAGCCTATCCCCTTCTTGACGCTCTTTCACCACGCATGCGCCGCCCCTCCGAAGTCCGTTCCGGCCTCGAGAATGGCCGCTGAAATCTCGCGCATGCGGATCGGGAGACAGGTGGCTTCGCCTGAGAGTTCTACCGCCTTGGAATGAGTGTTTGCGTGGGTTCCGGGCAGCGCGAGAGTTACGCTCACAGGTTTCTCAGAGGTGGCGATTCTAATCCCGTGCGATGAATGGAGGCAGAATTCGGAAGCCCGGCGCCGGAGCTCCGCGCTGTGAGCGATGGCACGAGCAGCGCTTTGAGCCAGTTTAAAGAGTGCTTCAAACTGTTTAAAAATAAATAAATAAAGCAAAGTGTTTTTCTGGGTGCCGTATTTCCGCACGGGGGTGTGTGGATCTCCGGGGGTTCCCTGGGTGGCTTTGAGCAAGTTGTCAGGTTAACAAACCGAGTTGCTGTGAAGAAAAAAATGAGGCGAGATCCCCACGTGCACCATCTTAAAGCTTCCTAAGAAAACGATGGATATAAATAAATCCATAAATGCCAATATACTAATCGTTCTGCACAAACATTTCCTACGTTTTTCTAGTCCTGGTCATTCTGTGTTAGGAATTAACCATTCAACCATTACAATTTAATTAATAATAATTTATTAAATTTATACACCACCCAGAGTCATTGGGAGTCAGGTGGCATATACATTTAATACATTATTATTATTAACCACATTTCAAACATTCAACTTTCCATGTTTTTTTCAAGGAATCAATGTGTTCTGGATTATACCTAAGAATCTTTAAGATTTCTGTTCACTTTAGAATTATTTAATCTTTCTGGAGTGCACCCTAACCATTCTAATGAAACCATCCAATGTTTTATTACTGTTATATAATTGGATACCTTGAATTGTGTATGTACCAAATTTTGGATTAATTTATTGATAGTTAATCAGCAAATTTTATACAACGATCTATGTGTAATCAAGTTGTATTTTTCCACACTGTATTTATTATATTTGATGTAAAATGCACCCTAATACTACTTAAGTTTATTCAGAAATAACGTAAACTAAAAAATATAATGTAAAAATCACTAAGTCTACAATTGTCTACACATGGAAATAAATCCCGCTGAATACAGAGGGATTTTCTTCCTAGTAGCCATCTGATAGTAAAGCAGCATAACACTATGAAAACTACAAGGTTCAAGGGAATCTGTTTCCCTTCCTTTAACAGAGATGTTTGTCAACAAGGCCAGAAACTAATTTACCAATTGCCCACAGCTGTTGACTCTGGTTATTGTGTAAAATATCCTGATTCTGGCTACATAATCGTAGGAAGTATTCAGACACAGATATACTTTGCATAGATTTACTGAAAGCAATAGGACTTATGTTTATTTTTATCTATTTAAGAAACTTACATGACTCATCTTTACCAAAACTCTGGGCAGTTCACAGCAATAATAAAAATATATAAGAAACTATTTAAAAGCTCAATATCCAAGTTACTCATGAGTAATATAAACTGTATTATTTCAGAGAGTCTAGTCTAAATATGATTAAGTCTGGATCCAGCCCACTGCTTTCTGGTAAGCAGATTATGATTCTACATGTACAGATACATATACACCTTTCACCTTTGTTGCTGCCCACAAAAAAAGAAATCATTAACTCTGGAATAGTAACTGATCAAGAGGGTCAGTTACTTGCATATAGCAATTAAATCAGTTAATCTAACTTGTTTCTATGCATATTACTTTTTTGTGGCTGGAGGTATCTAGTGGTTTTCCTTAAATCCATGGAAGCTTAGCAAAAGACCCATTTAAATAAAACCAATAAATATATCAAGAAAAATGCTGCATGCGTAGTTCTACACGCATGCAAATAATCAAACTAGTTTTTGAAGCTACACATTGCACTTAATTCTCACATTGCACTAAAGGCATAGCTTCCTAAATAAACCACAACCGGCTGTGCTCACACATGCTAAGCTATAAACCATGGCTTACAAATCACACTAGCTGACTTCATCCAGCAAGCTAAACAAACAAAAAAAACCCCAAATTGTGGCCAGTAATGTTTAATATTCATACGTGTTTTGCATGAAAAAAATTATTGGAATGAAATTGCTGCATAAAAACAAGAGGGAGCAGCTGTTAGCAGCAGGAAACCAGAGATTCTAACACAGATTCCAACTGCAGTTGCTTGATCGTTCCCACCCCATTCTTTATTTTATGCAAAGCAACTTCAGACGAGATGCCCATCTGACTGCAGGAAGAATGAGAGCTCCTGTGTTCTAGAAATGATGAAGTCCGACTACTGAATTTATAACTGACCGCTGGTTGTGTGGGTGATTCTGCAAGTTTGTGCGGCTTGCTTATGCTGTACTGTATTTAACTTGCCCTGAAGAAACGGCAGGATTTATGTCAAAGCAACAAGATAGGACTTCAGTGTCTTGCAGACATGCTTTCATGTTTTAGTACACAACATCCCTGATCAAACCACTTAAGTTATTAGGCTACATGTCCTTCTTCTAGTTTCAAGATGCTAATGAGGCCATTCAACCACCAAGCACAAACCTGATGCCACCAAATGTTAAGGATCATCTGGATAGGTGGATGAATTTCTCTGCACCAATTATGGAAAGAATACAGCTTCCTAAAATAAATACCCTCCTTAGTCTCTTATATCAACTACAACTGTTTCAGAGAATTTAAAACCTCACACTTTAATAAGCTCCACAAGACCTTTTTAAGGTTCATTTGGTAGGCAAAAAACAAGAATTGTCATTAAAAATGTATGGGCCCATGGAGACATGGGAGAACTAAATCTCCCTAATGTTAGGCTATATTTCTGGGCATCCCATATGGAATATCTGGCAGCAAGGTCCCAGAGAAACCGAGGGCTTCAGTGGCTCCAGATTGAACAACAGGCAGCAGGCCAAATTAATCTGGCAAGCCTCCCAGACAGTATAATCCTCCAACTACTCAGCCAATACAAGCCCCAAGGAAACGGATGGGGCAGCAGCACACAAAGCAGCGTTTCCAGATGTGCAGGTGCACTTACCTCAAGTTAAAGAAAACTGATTACAGAATCCATGTTAAGAAGTATACAATACCTTGCAGAGCACACGGCCCCCATCATCTGCAGCCTTATTCCATAGCCAGAATATAATGGGAAGTGGAGTCCCTAAGATAAGTCACTTTTAACTATTCTTAGGCTTATGGTTGTTGAGTGCATCATCAGAATTTATCTCATCTGTAATAGCACAAGACGTGTAAGACTGCAAATTATTTATAGGGATTCCACATTAAAGAAACAGGGAAGGGGGAGAATGAATTGGATGAAAGATCTCTCTGACAAACTCGGTTTTTATTTTGCTGTATTCACAGGAGAAATTCACCCATTAAAAATTAACTGCTAAACAGAATTTGATATTCCCTCTGAAACCACAATTTTTATCTGAAGGTGGAAAATAGGATTTACTTCTTTAAGCGCTTTGGCCTTAAAACTGCCTCCCTCATACAAAATGAAAGTCATCACGGTGGACAAAGCACTCATCTTTTTTAAATCATACAAAATGTTTGAGGTCAAGAGAAAATACACAACAGAGTTAAAATTAAAACACTGCAGACATGAGGTTAAATTCTATACATTAATTTTACTTCTCTATTGCTGTATAATAAAATACATGAACACTTAACCAAATGTCTACAAGAAATACTTTAAAACCACTTACCACCCACCTTTTTCTACTAACATACTGTCTTCTGGATCTGGGAAATTGTAGGACTGTTGGGACCATTAATGCTGTTTAATATATATTGATTGCATTAGGGAGCTTGCGTGTGTCTATGTGTGAGTACATACATGCATATGTAAAGCCTTTTACGAATTGGGGGAAGCGGGTGTAATATTTTCCCAAACACCACAGAGATTATAACTGGATAGGGGCAAATGAATGATCCCACATTTTACCACTAGCTCAAATTTGTTTTTGAGACTGTGCCTTGAAAGGCAGCAAATGCTGGAATGCAATGAAAGGATTACAAATGCCATGTTCTATTTACCTAAGTTGTTGTAGTTTAACCTATTTCCTTGACACTTGGTTTGTATTGCATTCTTACAATGAAATTGCACTGTGATGAATATCTAACACTGGGCAAAACTATGAAACATTTGCAGTCCTTAGTTCACTTATTTGGAAGGAAATTCAAATAAAGTGAATGGCATGCCTGTATTTAAGATCAGAATACCACTTTTCTATTTGTTAATAAAAACAGGATTCTGAATGTCTGAAAAACAAGCTTACTTCCGTAAAATTCATATTTGAGTCAAGCAGACTCAAATTTGTTTTTTTGTTTGTTATGTACTATTATTCTATTCTATACAATGCCACACACTATTTTCTTGGCAAGTAAGTTCAAAATCTGTTAAAAGTAAAACAGTAAACAGTGCAATCATAGCTGTCAATAACATTGCAGCACATCAAAACATGACAGTAAAACTAGTTGTAAAACAGCTTTGGAAATTATTTTTAAATACCTGGGAGATTACACAGGGACAAAAAGGACTGTAGTATAAGTGCCAGGTGAGTTTCTCTACAGAAGGTATCACCCAGACCTTCAGGGTATGTTAAGGAAACCTTTAATTGTTCCTTCGTTTTATATTCTTTAAAAATAAGCCCTCATGTTTGAGACACAATTTGAAAGACAAGGCACAGATATGCATGTCTGTAAATAATTTCTATTATGTCTGCAAATGCCAGGAATCTCATTTCAGACTTCTACATTTCTCTTCTCTAGTACAAAAGAACCCAAACAAAGAGTTATTTCTTTTCAACACTTAGCCTTCCATACTTTGTTTTAACATATAAGAGTCAAATAATATTGCAGAAAGTTGAAGAGGCCAGAAGGCACCATTTTCCATTCCATTTTGTTCTGGCTTTCTTGCAATTTCCTTCAGGTGTTCTAGGACCAGATTAAGCAAGGTTTCATAAGATG